ATTGGAGTTAAAACCAAAGGGGGGATGGCAGCTGGGGCTCAACGATATGCGATCCTGTGCTTTAAGAGCATGTAAGCAAGGAAGATTATTGTGGAATATAGTAGTGAGTGAAGTGTGGAGGGAAATATGCAAACGGGCATATATAAATGATTAAAGCTAACATCTCACGAGCTGATCCAAAAATCGTGGAATTGAAAATTGCAGGTACTCCTGGACTTACAGAAGTAGTGTTGACTAAGCCTATTTGGTTTAAATTTTATAGTTAGGGATAGAGAGTTACCCTAGTTAAATTTTATATCGTCTATGGTTTAGAACTTGGTTTCAATGGTGGATTGATTTCTTCGTAGAATAATTTCTACTAAAAAACTGTACCACAAAATTTTGGGGTTTGCACGAATTTCTAGGTGTGCTGTTAAAGCACTTTTCAAATATTTTTACAAAATTCAACGGACTATAACCCATTCTTTTTGCATCGAAATACAAAAATAATTTGCATAGAAATATGAGTTTTCTTGCGCTCTACAATATTATATTTGTTGGAGAAAAAAATTACGCCATTTACCACTATCATATAATGATATTACCATCAACAGTGGTATGATGATGTTTGTAAGTCTTACCAAAGTGCTAAGATCACGATATGGCTGGTGAAATGGATTTTGTGAAGTCTCACAAAAAAAAAAAAAGAATTTTGTGAAGTTTGATCGTAGTGGTATGATGTTAATATAATAGTGATATGCAGGGGTGGTAATCGATTTACCTGTTAACGGTATAAGCAATTACGGACCGAACCGATAACAGTATGTACCATATAACAGTAGCCACTATATTGCACACAGTATACCGGATCCAACTCAATAATTAGTAACCGGCGGTATATCGGATAACCTGATATCCACCTCGACAACAGCATCCCAACCCGTCTTCCTTCCCCTTTTCTCTCCCAACTCTGCAAGGTCATAGCGCCATCTCCGCCGCCATCTCACATTCCTCCATTCCCAACTCCACCCTTCCCCTCCTGTCTGAAAGATGAGAACTTTCTTCTTCCATTTCCCAAACCTACAAATCTTAACTCTCTACACCATCAGCAACTCACCACTTTCTTCCTCAATGTCGCTATGCTCTTCCACTAGCCTTTTTTTCATTGGACGCTCTTTCACCAGCCTCCGACCTCACCAACCTCGAATTTTCCCCGGTGCACCTAACCCTTCCATCTTCTCCCTCTCGACTAACAAAGCGGTGGACAACGATCAGGAACACGGCGGCACCAAGCAGCAGCCGCAGGAGCACGAATTGATGACATTAAATTGGCTGCGGGAATCGAAGATGAGATCCTATGATGATTAATTAGTTAGAAACTCTTCTCTTCTCTTCAAAGAAGAAACATCACCAAAAAACTGCAGCCAAAGGTTATGGGAATTTGGAGGGGTGGCAAAGACTGAACCACGAAAATGGAAGGCATGGTGGAAACAACTCCTCTGCTTTTTCCTTCGTTGGCGGTATGTCAGGTAACCAGTAATCAGTTATCCGTATCCGGTCAACCGGTTAAAAACCGGTATTCGGTTCTCGATTTTCATATTGCTATTTTCGGTATACCATTAACCGGTTAGGTGGTTACGGATGTACTAGTCCTAGTGATATAATGTTGGTATGATAGTGACTAATGTTGGTATATATAAAGTCTTATGTTTTTCAAAATAATTTGATGACATCATATTATTGTCATCAAATTATTTTGAAAAACATAAGACTTTATATATACATAATGATAATATCATGATATGATAATGGTATGATGTGTGGACTGATTTTTTTACCACATTGGTAATATATGATATGATAATCATTAGATTATATAGTAAACTCGAGTTTTTTTATGTTCTAAATTTCTTTTTGATCAAAATATAAAAAATATAATATCATTGTGTAACTCATCATTAATGACTTCTTTTTGTGCAAAATATTTAAAATATTGAGTTAAGATAAAATAGATGTGTCGTCATATCAATGTCATATCATGACCATATGATATTGATAATACCAGCGGCGGATCCAGAGGGCCGCCACAAGGTCACGGTCCAGTCCTTCTCAGGATCCCGAGCTAGTATAGTACTTGTAATTTTCGATTTTGGTATTCATATAAGTGTTTGTCGCGTTACTACCCAACTCTCTTCGTCTTTTTTCAAATGTGGCTCAGTGCTCTACCTTGTTCTGGATCCGCCGTTGGATAATACTACCATAAACACTTGTATAAAGATTTTGTTGTCCCATATCATTTCCCAACTTATAATATTAATCACAATTGATAACCTGGACCAATCATTATTCTAGTTCTTGCATGAACACACAGACTGAAGTAAAATCATCAAAGATTAATCATTTACAAAGCATATTAGTGAAAGCCCATCATCTAGACTCCAACCCCTTCCCGCGCCCCCTTATTAATAACGACTTGTTTTCTTCACTTTCCGTACTTAGCCTTGTAGTCCTTCCAAAGCTCATCCACGCTCTTCCCAAGCAACTCCTTGAAAAACGTCACGTTATAACCATCTCTCATCTTCTTATTAAGCTCCGCCACGAACCCGTCCTTCTTCAATCCGTCGCAATAATCCAAAAACATAGCCGTAACGTCGTAGCCTTGGTCCCACTTATCGCCCTCCCCCGGTTTGACCCAACGACCCGGCGGCGGGGCCAAACCGGCTCTCAATCTAACGAAATCCGCAATCCCTTCAATCAATCCACCCGGGGCAATGTCTCCTTGCGCACCACCAAACCACTGCCACACGTGCGTCATCTCGTGATACACCACTCCAGCCACCTCACGCCTGACGTCATTGCCACCGTCGGAGTAGTTCCCGACGTATTGGGCGCTGAGGCTGATCTCGTTGTCCGAGGTGTAAGCCACGCCGTCCATGTCCTTCACCAGCAACGTCACGTTGGAGAAGTCTCTCCGGCTGCCGTTGGTGGTCTCGCGGAAGACACTCGTCCATATGAAATTGGTGGCGTTGGACATGACGTGGCAGGTGTAGTTGGTGCCGACTTGGCGCGTGAAGATGGCACCGCCGGCTGTTTTCGGCGTGGTATTGATGGCGGTGAAGTTGATCACCTGTGCGACGGCGCCGGAGAGGGAAACAAGGAGAGAAAGGAGGAAAATGTTTTGAGACATGTTTATGTTTTAATTAATTTGATCGGTCCATGGGGTTTATTATAAAGGCAACAAGGCGGGAACTAAACGGTGGTTTATAGAAAATGTCCAATAATTAAGCTTGTGTTGACAGCCTCATAATAACGCACAATTGTCAAACTCTTGATTAATCAATATGAAAATGGATAAAATACAAATAAATGATGATATTTTACAACTATTACGCAAAGATATATACAAAATACATAATTTAAGGATTATGGAATGATAAATATTTCTTACATTATTATATACAAAGCTGGAGCTTAGTTACTGTTGCCTAAAAATATACTATTTGGATACCTCAAATTTTATTTAATTACAACTTAGTCACTATAATGTATATTTTATATTTTGATACCCCAATTTAATTTTACTGTAGCGACCATGAACAACCTTGGCATCAGTAACCTCAAAACCCTCTCTGGAAGCTCCTTGGTTCACGAATTTGGATCCAGTTCACGGTCTTAGAGACCGTGAACTCCAATGGCAGACCGTAAATTATTGCTGTCTCCTCCTCTTTGCCCGGTCTTTGCTCATTTTCTTCCAACTTTCGACATCGGGGTTGGTTTCACCTGTTAGGATCTGAAACACAAGAAACCTCGTGGAAAAAAACCCCTTGTAGAGTTCAATTGAAACAAACATCAAAAGGAAACGGGGATAAAAAGTGTACAATTAGCCCCGAATGACTCCCCCACACTTAGACGTTTGCTTGTCCCCAAGCAAACCATTTCACACAATGTAATCTCTCAGCCTAACAAAAATGCTTCAAGGACAAATGAAAGGGCACAAAGTGGCGAATCTCAATGGCTATTGGCAATTAACACATGGACTGTTGCAAGCAATACCGACATCCACCACAAACGACATTCGAGGTCACCAAAAACGGGCAAACGAAAAGTTCTCACCTTGTTCATGAATCAATGCAAGTCTCAACAAGATTACTTATCAACTACAACTAACCATGCATATCATTCCAGTCCAAGGAATAAACGAATGGGCAACAAAGGTCTTCACCGGGGTATGATATGACATGCAAAGCAAGAATGAATCACTCACTCTCTTGACCAGTGGGGTCGGGACCTTTTTGGTGCAAAGAATGTGCACAATCATCAACACTCTGCCCTATCATCTCTTCACCACGGCGGCAACCTCTAAATGTTAGAGTTCACAGGACGGTTGTCATCACTAGCTTGTTAAAGCACTTTTCAACTATTTTTACAAAATTCAACGGACTATACCCCATTCGTTTTGCATCGAAATACAAAATTAATTTGCATAGAAATATGAGTTTTCTTGTACTCTACAATATTATATTTGTTGGATAAAAAAATTACGCCATTCACCACTATCATATCATGATATTACCATTAACAGTGGTATGATGATGTTTGTAAGTCTTACCAAAGTGGTAAGATCGCGATATGACTGGTGAAATGGATTTTGTGAAGTCTCACAAAAAAAAAGGATTTTATGAAGTTTGATCATAGTGGTATGATGTTAATATAATAGTGATATGCAGGGGTGGTAATTGATTTACCTGTTAACTGTATAAGCAATTACGGATCGAACCGATAACCGTATGTACAGTATGACAGTAGCCACTATATTGCACACAATATACCGGATCCAACTCAATAATTAGTAACCGACGGTTAGCCGGTATATCGGATAACCTGATATCCACCTCGACAACAGCATCCCAACTTGTCTTCCTTCCCCTTTCTCTCCCAACTCTGCAAGGTCATAGCGCCATCTCCGCCGCCGTCTCACATTCCTCCATTCCCAACTCCACCCTTCTCCTGCTGCCTGAAAGATGAGAACTTTCTTCTTCCATTTCCCAAACCTGCAAATCTTAACTCTCTACACCATCAGCAACTCACCACTTTCTTCCTCGATGTCGCTATGCTCTTCCACAAGCCTTTTTTTCACTGGACGCTCTTTCACCAGCCACCGACCTCACCAACCTCGACTTTTCCCCGGTGCACCTGACCTTTCCACCTTGTACCTCTCGACTAACAAAGCAGTGGACAACGATCAGGAACACAGCGACACGACGCAGCAGCAGCGGAGGGAGCACGAATCGATGACATCAAATTGGCAGTGGAAATCGAAGAGGAGGGAGGTGGCGCGGCGGAATCAGAGATCCTATGATGATTAATTAGTTAGCAACTCTTCTCTTCTCTTCTCTTCAAAGAAGAAACATCACCAAAAAACTGCAGCCAAAGGTGATGGGAATTTGGAGGGGTGGCAAAGATTGAACCACGGAAATGGAAGGCATGGTGTAAACAACTCCTCTGATTTTCCCTCGTTGGCGCTATGTCAGGTACCCAGTAATCAACTATCGGTATCCGGTCAACCGGTTAAAAAACGGTATTCGGTACTCGATTTTCATATTGCTATTTCCGGTATATCATTAACCGGTTAGCTGGTTACGGATGTACTAGTCCTAGTGATATAATATTGGTATGATAGTGACTGATGTTGGTATATATAAAGTCTTATGTTTGTCAAAATAATTTGATGACATCATATTATTGTCATATCATGATATTATCATTATACCACCATAATGATAATATCATGATATGACAATAATATGATGTCATCAAACATAATGATAATATCATGATATGATAATGTTATGATGTATGAACTGATTTTTTTTATCACATTGGTAATATATGATATGATAATCATTAGATTATCCAGTACCCTCGAGTTTTTTATGTTCTAATTTTCTTTTTGATCAAAATATAAAAATATGATATCATTGTGTAACTCATAATAAATGACTTCTTTCCCTGCAAAATATTTAAAATATTGAGTTAAGATAAAATAGATGTGTCGTCATATCAATATCATATCATGACCATATGATATTGATAATACCAGCGGCGGATCCAGAGGTCCCCCGGGTCACGACCCAGTCCTCCTCAGGATCCCGAGCTAGTATAGTACTTGAAATTTTTTATTTTGGTTTATCATGTAAGTGTTTGTCGCGTTACTACCCAACCCTCTTCGTCTTTTTTCAAATCTGGCTCAGTGCTCTACCCTGTCCTAGATCCGTCGTTGGATAATACTACCATAAACACTTGTATCAAGAGTTTTTTTTCTCAAAAGATAACAAAATGGATATTATTGTACAGATCTTAATTAATGCATTCTTTTTATGCAAATTTCTTAATTTATGAGTTAAAAGAAAGCAAATATGACCCAATTAAAAAAATGAAAAATTTCCTCTTTCTTTAGAATTTTGTGTCGAAGTAAAAAATAGAAAGGTGCGGAATTACAAGTTCTCTCCTCCTTGTTTTTTAATGAATTTTGGGTCGTTAGATATGGTTAAAATAAAAGAATAGATATGAGATTCGTAGTATAGGATTTTGTTGTCCCATATCATTTCCCAACTTATAATATTGATCACAATTGATAACCTGGACCAATCATTAGTCTAGTTCTTGTATGAACACACAGACTGAAAGCCCATCATCTAGACTCCAACCCATTCCCTCGCCCCCTTATTAATAACGACTTGTTTTCTTCACTTTCCGTACTTAGCCTTGTAGTCCTTCCAAAGCTCATCCACGCTCTTCCCAAGCAACTCCTTGAAAAACGTCACGTTATAACCATCTCTCATCTTCTTATTAAGCTCCGCCACGAACCCGTCCTTCTTCAATCCGTCGCAATAATCCAAAAACATAGCCGTAACGTCGTAGCCTTGGTCCCACTTATCGCCCTCCCCCGGTTTGACCCAACGACCCGGCGGCGGGGCCAAACCGGCTCTCAATCTAACGAAATCCGCAATCCCTTCAATCAATCCACCCGGGGCAATGTCTCCTTGTCCACCACCCAACCACCGCCACACGTGCGTCATCTCGTGATACACCACTCCAGCCACCTCACGCTTGACGTCATTGCTGCCGTCGGAGTAGTTCCCGGGCGCTGAGGCTGATCTCGTTGTCCAAGGTGTAAGCCACGCCGTCCATGTTTTTTCGTTGGCGAAAATCGCGCGTTCAATGCGCACTGTTTTCAAGTAAACACAAAACACAAAGCCAATCACAACCGTCAAATATCCGCCACTGAATGTCGACGCCGTTGATTTGATCGATCGAACAGAAACCAAGACAACCGTCAAATGTCCATCGCCGGCGTCGGCGATGTTGATTTGATTGATGCACCTTTGACTTCTAATCAAACAACCATTATTCGGTTCACCACCTCTCCAAACTACGTTCGAATGAGGGTGTTCGGCGAATAACCAGAAAATCGAACCATGAGTGTTCTAAATTACGTTACCTCTACTCCTATGGAGGTTCCTCTGGAGAGCTCCTCGACTACGACTACAAGCTACGACTACGACTCTGCAAAGGATTTCTCTGTCAGAGCGGTTCTACGAAACTAGAGAGAAAAAGGTAAGTCTGCTACGATGCAGTTTGAGATTTGATTTTGCCGCCTCGAGCTTCTCTCTCTTACTGATGTTTATACAGCCATCCTCTGCCCGTAGTCGTGGTAACCGCTTTTGCGCTTTGTCTCCCACGTCTTCATTCCTGTCAACCGTACAGGTAACTTCCTCCTTGTTGCGTGATAATCGCGTGCCCTCGAAACCGTTCCTCTTTGCAGAAACTTGGCAAAACGACGTTGAGCCAACTCCTGCAACCTTGTCCATGTAACGATGTCGTTTCACCAATACCACGACATCGCCTTTCAGTAACCGATGTCGTTTTATAATCCAACTCAACTGCCCCACCCGGTTTAACCAACGACATTGTTAGTCCATCAAACAACGTCGTTCTCTACTCTTGTGCCGTCGTTGGGCTTGGCGGGCCGCCTTTGGCCGAACTCTTACCCACTACCGAGGTGTCGTTTTACTTTTCCGTGGCATCGCTTTTCCATAAACGACACCGTCTAAAATAATGACAAAATACTAATTAATTAAACCAGCCGTCATTGTTAACTCGTCGTCAAACTCTCACCCCTCGGCGCCGTTCTTGGTTAAACAACATCGTTTTCTAGTCCCGCGATGTCGTTGAGCTTTTGAGCTTCGCGACACTGTTTTAAATTTAACACTCGTTTTAACTATTGCGGCATCGTTTGGCCTACTGGCGGTATTATTATAATCCGCGGTGTCGTTTCTTTCCTCTTGTTGCATCGTTTTCAACTAAACGACACCGTCCTAAACACTCATTAAAATATTAATTGATCAATCCGGCCATCACTAGTCAAATTCACGTGTTGACCAACGACATCATTAGCGCCAAAACGACTCCGTTTGCTTTTCCTTTTGCGACATTGTTTGTCATTTTAAACACTGTCGTTTGCTAGTACAGCGAAACCGTTTGATATAGCCAAAAATATATTAATCCATGGAACCGCCGCCAGTCGCTCGCATTGGGCTGGGCGAATTTTTGTCACTTACCCGATATGGTTTTTAATTAATCGGTACCGCTTATCAGGCCCTCACGGCATCGTTTTTAAATCCGCGGTACCGTTTTAACTCTCCGCGATGCCGCTTGTCTCCATGCGGTACCGATTTTCACCTTCCGGCAAGGAATAAAGGTAATAATTAATTAGAAAAAAACTCCCTCCACCAACACCCAACTAAACGCGCGGCCCCCTTTTGTTTTTCGGTATCGTTTCCGGTGCCGCGGCACCGCTGAGCTTCCTTGCGGTGCCATTTTTTGTTTCGCGGTATAGTTTTAAATCTCCGCGATGCCGCTCAACTCTAGGCTAATTAATGCGGCATTTAATTCAGACCAAATTAATTTTAGGTGTCAACAAATGCACCCACAATTTGGTTTATAAGCATTATGAACCAAATTGTTGTCACAATCCAAATAACCTAAAAATATTTTATCAATTTGAGTTATTAGCCAGGTAGAACTCCTTTTTTTAATCGATTCACCCACCTAAACAAAGATGCGGCCATACTTAGCATAAAAACACAGCAACACTGCGAACCCCAGCGCTGTTGAGGATCAACATTGATGCTTCGTCATGTATTTAATTTGGCCCGCAACGACACTTTGTTAAAACGACAATGTCCTCACTCATGCAGGCTGCAGCCTTGCTTTCCGCCCAACAAACTGGAACTGCAACGCTGTTTTGAGCCAAGACTTAAGCGGCTCGTTAAAGAGCTTTCCTTGGCCTTACCTACTGAGCAAAGTTGTGGTAGCAGTAACAGTGTTTGGATAAAAGAGGACTCTCTTTTTTCCTTACAATGTTGCGGTCAGAGCATAGTTTCAGCCAACGTCACCGTTAAGCTTCTACATCGTTGCAACAAATATATATATATATGGGCCAACGGCGGGGTTTTGCTTGTCTATGGCCGATAAGTTTTCCGCACAACGGCGAAAACAATCCTCCCTGCCCTTCCTTTTAAACTTCGCCCTTGTCAAACAGTCTTGAATTTGTTAAATTTCCTTATTGCCAGCCCGTGCAATACTGCGGCGGCCAAAAACAACTTTGTTTGTTGTTATCCCTCTTCATCCAACGTAAAAGAAATAACAAAGAGATGTCTAATAAAATAATATTATTATTATTAAAATTAATTGTATCCATGCCAAGCAATCATGCGAGCAAGGGAGGGGTTACGGTGCTAATTGTACAATAGTTAGCACCGTCCTAATCAAATGGAGGAGTCCGACAGCTCTTCTTTTTCTCCGCAGCGCTGCGGCCTGCATAATATATATATTATTATTTTTATTAATTAAAACCAACAGCTTTGGCATTTATTATTATCTTTTAACAGCTTTGTGATCCCAACAACGTCACTTGATAGAAAAAACGATGACGTTGCACCGCAGTGCAGTTCGGCTTTCCCGTAAACATACCAGAGCTGTTTTCTTTGCTCGCAATACTGTTTGGGAACTCGCCCTGTTTTTCTAGTCGACAACGTTGTGGAGGCCACGGGTCTGCATGGGTAATTGCCATTTTTTATATTATTTACTAGTGTATATCCAAACAAAGCCAATTAAATGGCGGTACCCTGGTGGCCTAAGTCCTGTTTCATTCCTTTTCCGCCAAGGGAAGAAAACACCCGAACCATATCAAGCAATCATTCTCCATACAGGTTTGTGCCCTTACTCCTTATAAATAAATAGACATGCTACCACCATAATTCACATTCATCATTGTTGAATTACAGCAAAGCTTGCCGGCCCGCCATCGATTTCTCCTTCCAGCGCGCAACCCCGACTTTTGTCAACAATCCATCAAGACACCAACATGGCTCCTGGCGGTCGAGTACCTCCTCAAATCCGGTACTGATTTTTCACGCCAATCTCTTGTTCTTCCTCTACTATTCACTCCTGCTTGTGATGTATATATGTCATGTAATTCATCATATGAACACGTAGATTACTCGTACCTTTTCATCCCCGCTAGTCGAGCTGTTCGTGCTTTACCTCCTGTGCGGCACGTTCCTATCTTTTCTGCTTTCCTTGATTATTTCATGCTCTATCCATGCGTGAACAGCCATGTACCCAAATTGCCTTGTCTCTCCTTAAATCGGGAAGCCGCCCCTCGACTCCTAATCATTATTTGTTTGGTCTCTTTTCTCGACAGGCCCCCTCCAGTAAACCTGGCTCATAGAACTTGGATAACTCTCCCGCCATAGAACTTGACACCCTTTCATTAAAGAATAAGGGCGCGGGTTCGCACGGTCCTGCCATAACCGATCGTGACGATGAGACCATAAACCAGCTAGATGTTTATCCCGTTGCCCAAGCCAGGCTACTCCTCCGTCACGCACTGACTCCGTTCCTTGCCCAGCAGAAACCGAAACGAACTCTCTCTTCCTGGGCTCTCTCTGGACAAGATTTTGTGAGATGGTATTGTCGCCCACTTGCTGATGAAACCACTACCTCTCATTGGAGAGATGTTGGCATAGATTGCTTCTTATCCCTTTGTGCCATCCTCCCCTACCAGATGTCTATTTATTCAAGGCTGCCATATGTTTTTGGTCCACAGAATCCAATAGCTTCATTTTCCCATTAGGAACCATGACAGTCACCGTGCTCGACGTCGTCGCGTTAACTGGCCTCTCCCGTCATCGCTCTCCTACCATCGCTAGAATCCCTTTCAACCATGATAACCCTATTCCTTTCCATCGCTCCTACCACTCGCTCTACAACACCAATTCCCCAACTGACCCTGCGACACCGATCACCGATGGGGAGCGAGCCTACTTCATCCATTACTAGCTGAATAAATTCATTCTCTGTCCAGGCGGCGGTCAACCAGTGCAAGCGATCAATTCAAGCTACCAAATTGCTGCTGGGGAATGCGATAACCTTGCTGAAGTGGTGTTATGTCACCTTTATTGGGGTATGTACCTGACCATTCAACAGATCAAGAAAGCCACGGAGGCCAGACAAGTCAGCAGCGCGGGTCCCCTTTGGCTACTTTAGTTGTGGTTATATGCTTATTTTCCCGCCGTACGGGGCTCGTTGACTGCTCCTGCCGGCATGGTTCACGATACCGCGATCTTGTCATACGGCCATTACTACGCCAAAGCTCCCCCACTGAAGGACTTTGCTACATACTTCCCGATTTTTTACGAAGCCGGAGACATCGAGAGCTTTACTCCATTTGAAGCTTGGATGTTTGGACCTCCGTCGTTTAGGCTTGCTTACAACCAAAAACCACTAGCCGGAGACGCTTCCCTCGGTGACTATAACTGGTATGTGGAAGAACCTACTTCATATTCTTATTTATCCTTATCTCGGGGTGCGTTATTTTATCCCATTTACACGGCTCTTCACCCTGCGCAGCTTCCCGGAGATCACCGGGCGGCATTTGTCCCACCAAACAGAGTCGCCTGAGCCTAAATGTTGAGGTAAGTACAACCACCTTATATCCCAACTATTACGACCTCTTTTGGGGAGCCATTTGCTTTAGCTTAGGTATATTATCACCTGTGGCCCAACTTGTCATGCTCCCTTTTATTTTCTTTACTTCCCTGGCAATCTTGATAAATTGACCACGTGGTATGCCCACCTCCAACACCTATAATTGCCCTGCACAAAACTGCCATGCAGCCATACTTGTATAACGCTAGCAAAATTTTCTTAGCTCAAACCTAGGTGCGATGGTGTTTGCTTCTTAATTCAACTTTCCATTCTTTACAAGATCCGGGAACCGATGAGTCGGGAGAAGAGACTCGATCCACCTCGGACTCCTTGAATATTGAGTCAGAAATCGACCCTGACGATGATGCAACAATTTTAAATGGCTCGACTCTTGCGGAACAAACTAGCCAATCTGTGGCTGATTCAATGTCACCGGCTGTGCTCCACCCTCGACGACTGAGCATGAGAGCGCCACCGTTCCATCTGTTCCGACTAGTTCCTTATTGGTTGCTTCTGCTAGCCCCGCGCCTACTTCATCTGCTAGAGAAAACGCCACCATCCTTGCTCCAACCATGCCTCCACTCAAACCCGCCAGTTTCGGGGTCACGATGCCAACCCCCACCCCCACTCTCTTCCTATCTCAGCCCTTCCATCTTTCGCACCCCTCGCAGCTCGATCATCCCCTTTTTCCGATCTTAATAGATCCGTTCCGTCCACCATGGGTGTGGCTTCACCGACCTCGGCCCCCACGGTAAAGCTAGTTATGCCTTCTTCGCTAGGAAGCTTTCAACTTTCTACTTTGTGGCTCACTAATTCATTCTTTTGATTTGCAGAGCATACCTGATCTTGATACGGCGGTGCGGTTCTTCACTTCATTGGCAAAAACTCGGACTCCGCCCTCTATCGAGATACGCCTTGCTCCACGAACCCAAACCATAAAAAATGCCATTGGCCAGATCGTTCAATTTCTCTCCCTTTCCTTAGAAGAAGCAGTTGACCCTCCACAGCGAAATGAGCTTGAATCGACTTTTACAGTATTGAGAGGATTGGGTCCTTCCGAAATCTTGCCTGGACTTGGGTTGGAAGAAACGGCTGCTGCAAAGAGAGCTCAGCAACTCGCACAAAAATACATGAAGTGTGCTCATGACGCCCTCGAGCTAGAGAAACACAGTGCCGAAAGGGAACAACCCTCCAATCAATGAGGGCGCATCTCGTTGCTAATACGATGCGCTTTAATGATCTTTCTTCTCAATATGAAGCTCGCTCTCGGCAGTGCGTAACTCGCGAACAATAAATTCATTCAGATGAATCCAAAATTGTTGCGATGAAGGCCGAACTGAAACAACTCGAGAAAGATGTGCAGGTCAAGAAAAATGAGTTTGCTGAAGATGTCTCCCACCGCACAACGATTCAGGTGTCCATCACTGCTCTCACAGCTGAAACTTAAACATTAGCAGCGCAAGAAACAACAGTGGCTGATGACAAGCTTGAGATTAGGAAGGCGCAGGCCGTTCAACTTCGGTAGGCAGCAAGGATCGGCTTTGACACATTGCGGGCGGAACTGGCTTATCTAGCCAATCATCTCACCGGCTTTTGAACAATCAAATTTGCTCTACCTGATATTTCAGTAACCACTGTCGTCCTGGCCGAACTTAATCCCTAACACAATGTCGCAGCAATGCATTGGCATTCCAAACGGTGGCAGTATTGTGGCCCAAGACATCCTTGAAAATATCCTTTCATCGACGTTCTTTTGCCCAGCAATCTTGCGGCCACATCTTTTCACGTTGGCCAACTGAACCACTTTAGCCAAATAGAACTCTCTCCCTCTCCTTTTTTACAGTGTTGTTTTTCTCATCGCAACCGTTCTGATTTTTCTCGCTCTCACCGACGCTGTTCTGGGAATTTGTTCTTATTTATTGTTTCTCGTCAGCCTACACAAGTGGCCTCTCTTTCTCCCATCACAAACCCGCAACGTCGTTGGCTGTTGAGCAATATAGGAAAACAATATCTTTATCCCCGGTAGCAAAATTCATTCATTTTTTTTTTATTAACATGTAAGTAACGCAACGCTGTTTTTGTTTAAACAACGACGTTTTGTCCTCGCACGCAACGGCGTTTTTTTTAAGCAGCGCTGAAACAATCGGGAAGTATATTTCAAGGAATTTGCTCTACCGCAGTGCAGATTTAGTCCTAACGGTGGCTTTTCAACACATTTTTTTTCTTTATATTTCCCAACAACGTGTTTACTTTCCCACCGAGGCCGCCAGGTTGTCTACTTTCCCAACGTGTTGGGGGAATTTTACAGTTGTGCCAAAACGCACCTACGGCCGGTCCACCATAAACTGATTTTTCGAATCTACCGCTCGTCGACAACAACGTTGTTGCTAGATATAACGGCATTGCGAGTGCTTCACCATGCCAAATTAAATATAGTATAACAGTGCAGTCTTGGCCAAATGGCCCTGCATCGTTGCTCTGAGACCATATTGTTTTAAACCTCCGGTAAGTTTGGCCGAGAACGAGTGGGACAAAATAACCCTATGGTGTCGTAAAACGTACCCACTAATACGGTAGCGTTTAATCTGGTTCTGTACCCACAACACTGCGGCAAACCCTCTTCCTGCCAAGCAACGCGGGTATACTTCTTGTCCTATTCCCTTCCAACGTCGTAATCCCAAACCCAAAAGGATACTACTTCTTACTACCCCGCCGCGGAAATTCCCAATAAATAGGTCACATGTGCCAACCCTAAACTTACCCGAGTAAAAGAAGAATTCCAACAACAACGATTCATTGAGCGGAAAACTGTACCTCAGATATCTTTGCCGTTGAAGTCACCAACATGTCATTGCAAGGATTTTCGTCGATCACCGAGTAAGTTCTACGATCCTGACTTCACATTGATATTGAAGCCTTGTTCCCTCCCAGTTAATGTTATCTCAAACGCTTTATGCGCCTCTTCTTGTTATGATGAATAGCCGCCGCTACATTACTAACCCAACTCACCTCTTTGTGAATGCAGCCTCGTCGCGGCTCTCCTCCCGTTATCTCCGGTGGAACAACGGGACTTCGTGGGAAACCTGGCCGATGCTGACTTCACTCTCGAGATAATATCCAAAGATGACAATGAGGAGGGCTGGCTTGGTCCACTCATTCGTGACCGGACCACTGCCATTATGGAGATATTGGACGTTTTCCCAATTCACGAATCTCAGCTTCTGTTTCGTCTTCCCGTTATCAGCCCACTCTTTAAACGGAAGACCCGAGCACTCCCTACGGTGGCCATCTCGAATCCGGACATTAAACGTTGGCATGGTCGACTGGCCAATGATGCAGCGACCATATCTCAATGGCGGGCATTAGGCCTGGACCGATTTCTCTCTCTATGTTTGCAGCCGCCGAAACCTGATCCCGAGCTGTTTAAAGCCGCCAACTGCTTCTGGTCAACGGAATCGAAGTGTTTCGTGCTCCCATTGGGATCGATGACGATCACTCTGCTCGACATAGCGGCCCTGACTGGCATATCAAAGCCGCGTGTGCAATCAAAGAGAGCCTTGGATCCAAATTGATAGCCTTCGACCGATCTTACAAATCACTATACAACAGCAATGCACCACTCACTCCTAGTGAACCTGTATTCGACAACGAGCGGGCGGCCTTTCTTCATTACTGGTTTGGCCGATTCGTGCTTTGCACCCAACGACCCCCCACGGATGTGCGTACAACCTTTGACATCGTCACTGACAAATGTACCAATCTTGACGAAATTGTGCTCTGTCACCTCTATCGCGGTCTGTATACCATCGTGAACCGTATCAAGGAGGCTACAGATGAAAGTGGAACAGTCAGTGATGGACCTCTATGGCTATTACAACCTTGGCTGCATGCTTATTTCCCGGCAACTCGCAGCCCTCTACCAGCTCTTCAAACGGCAGTTCAAGATACCACCATGCTCACATATGGCCATTGTTTTGCTAAAGCGGCTTCGCGAAAAGCGGATTTTACTAATTATTTTACCTTCTTTTATGAGGTCTGAGAGATCCCCAGCTTCACTCCTTTTGCAGAACAGATATTCGGCCCCGCTTCATTTAAACTCATTTTTTACGAGCCCCCGCCGCGAGGTGATCCCGCTACTGCCGCTTATCATTAATTCATCGAGGAGCGCAGACATTACCTAACAGCTCGGGACCTCCTCTTTGCTCCTACCGGCTCAGAAGTACTCGGCATTGAGACTTACAACCCTCAACTTGCAGCTCGACAATTCAGCCTCGTTCAAGCATGGCCTACGTTACCTCCCTCATCCTTGAATTTTCCAAAATTCCACCAACGACCCTCAAAGCTTACCGCGGGACAAATTATGGAGGTACGAGGTCACCAAGAATCCGCACAATACTTTCCTCATAAAAACGTGGTAAATAAAGTCTCGCCCCAATTCAAGGATGCATGGAATTCACTGGCATCACGTATTTTCGGCAAGCCGTTATCTGATATCCTCGCTCGGCTTGCTCCTGACCACGATGGCGGCTCAACGGCCTCAGCATTCAATACTCTCTTGAAACGGCGAGCAGGTAAGTTCTTCGTCCTCACACTCCTCTTTACGCTTTCTGTGACATTCATATTTTAACTCCCGCATTACTTAAAACTTCAATTATTGCAGTTATTGAGAATCGTCATCCATTTACTCGCCCCCTCCATCTCTTCGCACAACTCCCGTCACCGAGGTTAGCTTCACCCTTACTTTCTTATCCTACCCGGCCATCTTTTGGCTAACCTTCTTCTCACACCCTTGCTTCCTTTTGCAGGTAGACACCGACGATTTTGATATCGAGTACAGCTTCAATTCCGCGATGGAATCATCTAGGACCTCTCTCCCCGCATCGTCTTCGCCAATGGCGGGACTTCGACACCGAGTCCAAGAAGCATTGAAGATGATGAATCAATTTCTTAGCATTCCTCCGGTGACATCCTTGAGTGACCAAACCATAGTATGGCCCGGCTCTGCTTGCAAGACTCTGGAGACTTTGAGCATTAACATTCCACCACTTAGTGCTACTGACATGGCGTTCCTCCGCACAATGGGTAAAGACCTAGTGGAACGCGGGAAAGCTGTGGAACCAGCTCTGCAAGTGGCTAAAGCAAGTACGAAAATTATCATGCCACGAGCCGCACTCACTGCTCAAAAGCCGACTCTCATCAAAGGAGCTGCACAAATGCGACATGAGGAAGCGGCCTTAATTGCCACTGATCCCACTCGCGCGGAGATAGAAGCACAGGTTGAGCTGCAAGCAGCGCAAAGCTTTTTCACTCGCGTCCGCACTACTCTATCCCGCATTGCCCAGCAGCTCGCCAATTACGAGCCGTCCGACTCCTAGGAGAACTTCTTTTCTGCATTTCGGAATTTACCTTGGATTTTTGTTTTGGCATCGTTTCTCGGATTGCACACTCTCATTTCGTTAGATTCTCTTTCTCGTGCCATGTTAACTCGACCTATGAACAACTTAGTTTGCTCAACCAAATCGTTTATGCCAAACCACATTGTTAACCATGCCTACTTCTCGTGGCAAAAACGGCTTCGTTTAATAAGATAGGAACATTTTGGTACCGAACAGCGGTACTGCACCAGCTGGACTCGAGTGAACTCTACCGCTGGCCTTAAAGGCATTAAAAATTTTCTTTATTAGTAATGAAGCTGGCAAATTAGTTTATTTGTTGCATACTTTGCCATTCCCGTACTATTCAACCATGATGCAAGCTTGGTGGCCGATGAGGCCACGTCCTTTTAGCACTTGGTTGATCGTCATTGCCCAGATTAATGACCAGTTGCGTCCCATAGGGACGACACATATGGATTTAAATATTTTCCATTTATCAAACGCTCATGCATCACTCCATCTAAGTCTTTCAGAATGTACCACAAATGGTCCACGCCAATTTGGCGACCATTTTCAATACTTGGGATCTTTTTCCCCAATCGGCAAGTGAGCTTTCCAAACCAGTTCACCCTCCTCGAATGATTTGTGCCGAACCTACTTGTTATAAGCTCTTGCCACTCTTGCTTTCTGTACTTGAACATTATCGAGGGCGCGGAGTTGAAGTTCATCAAGATCGCAGAGCTCAAGAATCATTGATTCATTATACTCGTCAGGTGTTAACTCGTGCTGCTTCATATACCGGAGTGAGTTGACGGTCACCTCCACGAGAAGGAATGCTTCATGACCGTAAGTTAACGAGAATGGACTCACTCTCGTACTGCTCCGCGGAGACATCCTGTATGCCCACAAAGCTTCTGATAAAATTTCATGCCAACGTCGCGGATTATCCTCAATCATCTTCGTCAAAATATTATTTCACGACCTTGTTGGATGCTTTCGCCTGTCCGTTAGCTTGTGCGTAATACGGCGTGGAACGGATAATTTTTATCCCCGCTCCGCCGCGAACTCCATAACTTGCCCCCCAGTGAACACAGTTCCTTGGCCCGTCGTTATTGTTGCTGGCAAACCAAATCGATGGATAATGTGTTCTTGTATGAAAGAAATCACTTCCTCTTGGTTCGCCACCTTCAACGGTCTGGCCTCCACCCACTTAGTGAAGTAGTTAGTTGCCAAAATTATGAAAACATGTTTCTTTGACGATGGAGGATAAATCATACCAATCAAATCCATGGCCCACCCATAAAACGGCCTCGGTTTGATTATGGATTTCAGATCCACCGCCGGCGCTCTTGGGACGGGACCGTGACGTTGACAAGCTTCGCAGCCCTTGGCATATGCGGCACAATCTGGCCCGATGGTGGGCCGGTAGAATCCGTAGCGATGTAGAATCCATCGCATGGAAGGACCAGCTTGGGGAGCTCCGCATATTCATGCACTTCTGCCATGGCTTGCAATGCCTCCTTGCCCCCAAGCATTTCAATAATAACCCAACAGGTCTGCGTTTATACAAGGTCCCATCCGAAACTACGTAAGCTCCTTGCTCTAAACTTGACGACATGGTCAACAACCTTGTTCGGATCTTGCAAGTAAGAAAACAGTGGTGTCTTTCTCTATTACGCAAACTTGCTCAACTCTCAACCGCTCCCGCAAGGGCTTAAGTTTTTGCACCACTATCTGTTCTACGCATTGCTTTTCGCAAACTCTTTAAATCCCGAAGCCATTTGTGCAAGATAGTTGGCTTTACTATTGTCCATTCGAGGAACAAAGTTGATCTCCATACTGTCGAAGTGGGCAGTCAACGACTATACATGGTCTAGATACGTTTCTAGAACGCTATTGATACAACGAAAATCACCGTAGACCTGATGAACCACCAATAGTGAATCTCCCTTAACATCCACGTTACGGACTCCAAGCTCAATGAGCATTTCCAGCCTGACTACCAAAGCTTCATATTCAGCTTGGTTGTTGGTGCAAGGAAAATCCAACGAGAATGCAAAATGCATGGCCCGACCTGATGGTGCTTTCAACATCACGCCAGCCCCAGCACTGCCACGAGTTTTGGTTCCATCAAAATACAGGATATACTCATAATCTGATCTCCAGTCTATACTCATAATCATAAAATGTAAATAACTAGGTAGTCTCTGTCGTTGCTGCTACTGAAAATCTTGACTAGGCATCCTCCGAGACGCTTATACTGCTCTCCTCTAGCTGGCGGCCCTCGAACTCGTTGCTCACTAACTGCTCCTTTAGCTCCTCTAGCTCTTCAAACTGGTGAGTGAGATGGGGTCAGTCTACGCCCTTACATTTTAAACTTTCCTATACTTGAGTACTTTGCTTAAACACTTAACTTTAACTGGTGGAAGTTGTTTTGTACTTCCAATCTTAAAACCTTTACTCTTAAACTTTGAGGGAGTTGAAGTTACTCTCCTCTCTTAAAGCTCAAATCTTGACTCACACGGGGATCCCTCACTAGCTAGTCTGGTTGCCAACTCATACGTATGAGAAGCCATCGAGGCTTTCCTTAAAATTACACTTAGTTGGGGAAGTCTTAACGATTCATCCCCCTAACGTCTTAAACTTATCGTGGTGGCTCTTCACCACGATTCTCAAGAGCATAACTGCTGCTCTGTCTCAAAGATCTCAAGAGCATAACTGCTACTCTATCTGAAAATCTCAAATGGCAACGGACTGGCGCTAGTGACTAAAAACACTTAAAACGACTTCACCTTCTTGAAAGTAAGTTACTTCTAAAAAAAGGAACTTGTTTCTTAAACTCAAACATAACGCTTTAAGGTAAATAGCACAAAATCACTCCAAATCACCTCAACTAGCACAAAATTACCTCAAATCATAGCTCAAGCAAAGCACAAATAATCAATCATAACATAATTAAGCAAGGGTAACCAATTCACTAAAATACTTAAAATCATAATACTTAAAAGAATACGTAAGGCGTAGAATTTACCCCCTTTACACTCACCTTAAAAAGACGACCCTTCTTTACTGCCGGTCTATCCACGTCATCATCATCGAAATTTTACGCTCAAACTCCTCATCTGCAATGCGCACGAGAGTTCCACTTTGAAGGTACGTATTCTAATGGACCTACGAATATCCCATAACCAATTACTTAGCGATCTTCCCAACTCTTCAAGTTATTTACGTGCATGTCCATTATCAATCTCTACCCATCCCTTCTAGCATTACAAGAATTCATCAAGCCACCAACTCCATCATCCCCTACGTAACTCCAAATTTCATGACCAAGTGTAGGAAGCTACTTTAATCCCAACCCATCGCCAATTATCCAATACCATCTGCCATAAGTTACGTTGGAGAACAAATGAGACTCATACCCTCCTTTATTCCTCCCCTCCGAAAGCTCCAGTTAGCTTCCTTTATTCCTCCCCTCCGATTTGGTCCACTCCTACTAATTTATCCTTAACTGGCCTTCTTTTATGGATGACATCCTACTATGTCGTACTCGCTCAGAGTGGGGAACCTTGGGTAAGGTAACTTAATGATTTCCTCCTTCTTGGTAATGCTTTTCCTCGTCGTACTCCACTATGCATTTTCTTGTACACGAGTCACCTACACATATTCTCAATCCTTCATCGGAACTTCCATGTGTTTCCTCGAATTCTCTGCCATTCACTAGAACATTTATTGAACATTTCACTTATTTGCTACCACTTGCTTGTCTATACTCGGTTGACTTAATGACTTACTCTATAGCTAGTTCTGAGACCTCAGCTCTTAGCCCTCTAGTTCCAACTTAGTAGGAAGGTTCCTCCTTCTGTCACCCCTCATGTACCCTAGGAGGCTAGGTGTTCCCTCTATTTAGGAGAGGACAATCCCATAACAAATCATCATGAAATCTTGCATTCCCCTTTCAACGGTCCCAACGACCTCCGAACCTTTCATGATCTGGGTAGTTTGTAGAGTCTGTCATATCTCAATCCATCCTCTTTCTAGCTCAACATTGTTCACTAGCACATTGTTATTTTTTATCCAAGCTCTTCCTCTCCCTCTATCATCTTGACTCTTGTGTTGTTCATTCCAAAAGCTTGATATCGGCCTAATTCCCCAGGGTCATGTACCCTCTTCTCTAGTGAGGTACTTTGTCAATAAGGGTTCCTTTATCGTCATATGTAGATGACCATGCCTCATCTTCTCCTTGACTTACTGGCTTCTTGATGTCCTTTCAGACTCCTTATAACCTACTTATTTCCTCCTTCACTTCCTTTATACTACCCTAGCATTTCTTAAAGTCTAAACATTCCTCTGATACTTGTCACAGTGTGGTAATGGCATTGAGCCATCGACCACAAAAACTAGCTGAGGGACTTCTCGGGGTACCTCTTCGTTTCTTGACCCGTTGCCCACTTTCCACTGCTTAGGACCAAAGACCCTAACATCATCCTATTATCATAGCTACTGGCATCTGGTGATTGTACCTCTTCCTTTGGAGATTCATATTTCTCCCCTTTGTTTGTCTTAGCTTATTAGATCATCCACCTGTTTCCGAGTAGTAAAATCCTCATACTACTCTCTCAAATCCTTCAAAATCCTTGAGGTATTCCCTTTCAATTGGCATCTCCTTGCTGGTGTTTGGAGTTGAAGTCCTCGCACATTAGATTCTCCCTCCACAGACCTTTGCAACGTTCCTCCTTCCTTCTCTAGGTTGATGATGATGATCTGTTTGCTAACGTCCGAGTAGTTGGTTAACTAATTCAAAAACTACTATCCATCATGTCGATGAGATACTTGATCTTGAGAGCCTTTGAGATTCTACTTGGGTTGGTCACGTTTCTTTCATTCTTTCTTTCTTACTGGCGATCACCATATGCCTAAATCTCTCATTTGACAAACCACGACATGTTAACTAAATAGTGTCCTAGCCTATTCTTAAACAATCGCATCCTGGCTACCAT